ATAAATTTATATATACATATATATATATAATATATATATATATATGTATATATATACATATATATATATAATATATATATATATATGTATATATATACATATATATATATATGTATATATATATATAATACATATATATATATATATATGTATATATATATATATATATATATATATATATATATATATATATATATATATATATATAATACATATATATATATAAATTTATATATACATATATATATATATATATATAAATTTATATATACATATATATATATATATATAAATTTATATATACATATATATATATATATATATATATATATATATATATATATATATATATATATATATATATATATATATATATATATATATATATATATATATATATATATATATATATATATATATTAGCATTACAAATAAATAAATCAACATGAAAACATTGTCAGTCTGTGCTTGTTATAAAAAGTATTAAAAAGTAACATTGTTCTTGACCTCCCTTTCACCCTTGTCAACAATATCCAAAAATTTAAAAAACCTCTTTACCCTATTTTATTGACGTAGCTAATGGACAGCCCCTTATTGTGCAGCAGTGTAAAATTTATCTTAAAAAAAGTTAAAGCAAATATTGATAATGAATATAAAAACCAAAAAAACTGTTTCTAAAGGATTCTAATCAAAACAATAAAAATTTTAACAAATCAAATTATTCTTCCACTACAAAATATGGTTCAGTCTGAATAGTTGTGTTGTTCAACTTTTTTAAATGAGGCATGTTTTCTCCCATGTTTGCTGTTTTAAGATGTTTTAACGTCATGGAATGCTAGTGTTTAGAATTAGAAAAATTGATCTTCCAGAACAAAATAACAAAGTGTTTTATTTATATTCAAGAATTTTATTGTTGTTATTTTTGTTATAGAATTATGGAAAATAATTGGAATTATTGATTTTTTTTTTCAACATCTTCATTTCCAACAAGGCTGCAAGCAACTACTATTAGAGTTGGAAGTTACTGGAAGAGGAAGGACAAAGTTTATAAAGCAAGATAACGATTAATAGACGTCTTAAAAGGTTTTAAGTTATATGAATCAGGAAAGCAAGGTGAAAGAGAGCAAATTCCAAAGAACTGATGTTCTTGGAAAAAAAACTGGACGAATAAGAAATTTTGGAGCACTTAGGAACAGTCACAGAAAAAGAATGAGACTTAGTTAAATGAATTTTAGTATATGGCACAAGAGAAGCTAGCTCTTTAGAACATTACCCACTAATAATTATAGAAAAGAAACATGGAAGCAACATTACGACGATTTAAAAATGGCTGTAGGGTGGCTGCAAATTAAGATCCAATTATGTTTACAATTTTGCGTGTCAGATAGTTAGACCTACAAAAATATCGACCTACATAGATGTTCTACAAAATAAACATTTACTAAAAAGTGAAACTAATTTTTCTGATAAATTGTTTTAACTAATTAAAGTCTTTTTTATTTCAACCGATTTATGTAGTTTTTGTTTTCGACCGATTTATTTTTTGACCTATTTTAGAGATTTTCATTTTCAACCGATTTGAGATAAATTAAATTTCAACCGATTATCTGATCTGTGTTTTTAACGTTGTTTTTTTTTAAACTAAGAAGTTTTTTTTTTAACTTAACAATTAATAAGTTTTCCAAGCTTTTATCGAACCTTATACGTCCCAATTCTGAAAACAGCGCTTCAACCACTGCTCCAAGACTCATCAAATTTGGCTCGTATTCAAATCAACTACAAAATATACAAAATACATACCAGAAATGCGTATAAAATTGAAAATACAGTAGGTTGAGTATTCAGTAGGTCAAAAATACAGTAGATCAAAGATTTAGTTGGTTGGAAAATTAGTAGAACATATTTTAATTAGCTATAAATATAAAAATCAAAAATTGTCGGTTGAAAATCAAAAACGTCATAATCTACAATTTACGAAATTTCAAAATTAGGTTGAGTTATAGGTTTTTTTACCCTTTGTCTAAAAGAGAAGGAACATCATTGGAAGGTATTATATCATAGATAACTAAAATGGAACTTTTATCTTATTACTCGTAAAATAGGAGTAAATCAACAAGGTATTTAAGTCCAACCATGGAAAATAAGGTAATTTACTGTTAAAAACAACAGTTATTGATAGAATTACTACATAAGATTAATTCTGCACCATTGTGCTTCTTTGTGACTGATTTATGCTTTATAATTTTGCAAAAAGTAAATGTAGTTAGGATAATAAATAACACAGCATTTTGAAATGTTTAACTTAAGTAACGAAGTGTTTAATCACTCGAATACCAAGCGAAGACAATCTTGTTGGTCAAAAAAAGCGTAAAAGACTTTGCAGATCAAAAAATTAGTCATAAAACATTAAAAAAATTTTAGTCTCATTAGCAAATAAAGTTTCAGTAATTGATTGTTTGTAATGAAGAGAAGCAGTAATTGATTCTTTGTGTAGATAATGAAGAGAAGCAGAGCAGAAACTTGAGGAACATTATTGAGAACAACAAATAGAGCTGAAACTTTTAATTGTAACACGTTGCCAACTAAAAAGGAATTAATACACTTTATGAGTTTATTCCAAATCTTAATCTTAATTTTAACATGAGTTGTGAGGTACACTCAAACATGAGTGTGTTGTGAGGTACACTCAAACATGAGTGTGTTGTGAGGTACACTCAAACATGAGTGTGTTGTGAGGTACACTCAAACATGAGTGTGTTGTGAGGTACACTCAAACATGAGTGTGTTGTGAGGTACACTCAAACATGAGTGTGTTGTGAGGTACACTCAAACATGAGTGTGTTGTGAGGTACACTCAAACATGAGTGTGTTGTGAGGTACACTCAAACATGAGTGTGTTGTGAGGTACACTCAAACATGAGTGTGTTGTGAGGTACACTCTAACATGAGTGTGTTGTGAGGTACACTCAAACATGAGTGTGTTGTGAGGTACACTCAAACATGAGTGTGTTGTGAGGTACACTCAAACATGAGTGTGTTGTGAGGTACACTCAAACATGAGTGTGTTGTGAGGTACACTCAAACATGAGTGTGTTGTGAGGTACACTCAAACTGAGTGTGTTGTGAGGTACACTCAAACATGAGTGTGTTGTGAGGTACACTCAAACATGAGTGTGTTGTGAGGTACACTCAAACATGAGTGTGTTGTGAGGTACACTCAAACATGAGTGTGTTGTGAGGTACAATCAAACATGAGTGTGTTGTGAGGTTCACTTAAACTCATGTTTGATTTTGCCAAAAGCTTTGGCAAAATTAAGATAGATAACATCAATAAACAGGTGAGATGTCATGAAGACGAAATAATATCAAATGTCTCTATTAATTAGTAGAGCATCATTTACGATGAAGAAAGAATGTTGATTGTAGAGCAGGTTATAATCGTTGATATTTTTAAAGGTTTTGTTTTTTACAAGTTTTACAAAGATTTTGCGCGCAACGAGATTAGTAAAATAGGTTGATAGTTTTCAGCAAGTCCCTTTATCTCCCTTTTAATTTTCCTTTTTTTGTAGACCGAAATGTGTACGCTAATTAACAGAGAGAAAGTATTATTCCATAATCAAAGGACTCATGGAAGATTTCTGTAAGTGGAATTGAAAAGCTTTTGACATGAGAATTAAGGAATGCAAGCCGTCAGATCCAACGCGTAAAGGGCTAACCATAGCTATTTATAAACCTTCAAATCAGAATAACAAATGTTACTTTAAACATTTTAGAAAAGCTCTTAATTATTACTTACTATCATAAATGATTTTTTGCCTAAAAATTAAACCTCACACGTATTGGTTTGAAGAATATTATTTTGTTTTGTTTTCCAAGCTCTAATCACCTAAGATAATTACTCATTTTTGTAGTCATACTTTCATCAAAAATTACTGTGCTTTGCCAGAATATTTTGTAGAGATACTTTCATCAAAAATTACTGTGCTTTGCCAGAATTTTGAGGCGGTTAGACAAAATAAAATAATGTTCTTCAAACCTATGCGTGTGATGTTAAAAGTTTAATTTTTGTTTATAGAAAAATTAAAGTTATTGAAAAATTTCATACTTTATTGAAAAATTCTTTTGAGTTTTAAAATTTTAACCATGTAAGTGTCATTGACGGATGGAGGGGGGGATGCATTCCCCCCGACCCCACCACAATCTGAAAATAATTTTAGGACTTTCAGGTTCTGAACTTTAAAATATCTTAGAAATAGAGAACTTTTTTTTGGGGGAGACGCAAACAGGATACAAAATACGCAAAATATTTCAACATTACCCCTCCCCACCAAAAATCCCAGGATTCGTCACTTGTAAGTGTCTACAACTATCTTAAAATTTGGGTTAAACTTTTTTTTTTAATTGTGTGGGTATTAAGGTACTTCCAGAAGTACTTATGAACTTATCGCAGAGCACTGCGGAAAAACATTTAATTAGGAACTTTGCGCCTCCTTCCATGCCGTTGTCGGCTATTGGGCTAGAGCAGGCGTCAAACCTGGGACCTCTTGGTTCTCAGCCAAAACTCTAACCACGGCTGAACGACTTAGTATGACAATGTATGAAATTTTTAAATAAAGAATTATTATAAAATTAGTTGAACTTCAAAAAACTTTATATTAATTATATACAGGAGAAAAGTGTTTGGGTCGAAGAGGAACAAATCAGTGACGTCGCCACACACTCATTGGCCCGTAGGAAAAACACAAGCTTTTAACAATCTTTATGCAGTTTCTGCAATCCTAAAATAAAACTCAGTGGCCATCAATCCTATCATAGACTCGGTAGTCCTTTGGACTTTGTTTTCTATGTCTACCCTATCGCGATGCTTTTGAAAGGACTTCTTATAAGAAAATTATTAAATTAAAATAATGACAATATTACAACAGAATTCGTCGCTATAAATTCAAAAATCCGTCAATTGCAACGGCATCCTACTTGCCCTAACGCTGTTATGACTTTTT